AGCAGTCCGTTACAAGCAAGGCCACAGCTCTTCAAGAAATCGTGGGAAGTGCAGATTAGTAGCGCGATGGACCTGGCTAGGCATATGGCTGATAGTGTGGCGTGTTGCGTCTCTGCATCTTTCGTAAGGGGGTGGAGCCCCTTATGACATCTACTTACTACTGCCCTCCGGCCTCATTCTGAATTTTTTTAAGTGGCGGAAGAGGAAGCTTACACAGCTGCTGACCCTTTCACCTTGCACATGACAATGACTAATGTAAGACCTTTGAATGTGAAAAAATATGAATTTTCATCCCAATCATCTATTCTTCTGTCAAGGCCGACGATACTCCATCTGTTCGATGCGCTTGTCGAGAATACTCTCGGTAAAACAAACCTAGATCTCAACAAAAATATCACGGTCGATATTCTCATGAACAATGAGTGAGTGAGCGTCATTTTTTCTGATTTTTTTATTTACATCTAGGTTTACATTTTTTGAACTTCTTTCAGCAAAACCAAAGAAGAGGCTATTGCGCAATGGCGTGATATCAACGGATTTGTTGTATGTGACAAGCACCGCTTCGAAGAAGTGTTAGTGAACAGGTAAGGAGCGCTGAAGAGGTTCGTTGAAACGAAACCTGGGCACAGGGAGTATACTTTAGTCTTGTTCACCGAAAGTATACTGTACTCAAAATATAGAACAGGTTACATTTCTCTACGATCCAAAGATCATTTGTCATGCATCATATAGACGAGCGGTCACGCTATTTATGAGGCGACACATTCCAAACCCCGCGCCACTGGAAAGCGTGGACGGAACCCCATTCCCAGCATCTCTAATAGGCATGGCAACTACATGAGGCATAAAGAGTGTAGGTGGCACAGGTTACCGCATGCACACGCCACAGTAGGAGCAGTGTGATGGTTTTCACCCTATATTACAAGTAGGGGAACTGACGGCATACAGCACCACAGACTGCGCGTAAAACTGAATGCGTAGGAGCAACGAGTGCACACAATACACTCAGACTGCGCCTAGGCAGCCCCTGGCCAGGTGGGAAAAGGTGCAGCTCCTTTCTCCTTCCTTGGCA